ATCAAAAGAGCTTGTTGCAAAAACATGACATTAAGTACACGCAGGTCTCCATGCACACAAACAACTGTTCCATAACTGTCCAAGTGGTGGCCACAAGAAAAAAAAAGTGTAGCAAAACATGAGAGTTAAATACATCTGCTGTTTATGACTGCAGAATCGTTATGGTCAAGGAAATAAAATCTTACCGTCAGAGGCAGCTCTGCCCATGTCTTCACTGGTTTAAACAATAGTGTGTAAAATTGTAACTCATCGAGGGATCAGCCCCTATAAAAGTCACAGCATAGAAATCAATTGCCAGCTTTTATGAGTGATGTATAATATTCAGCTTGATATCAACCACTGCACTGATATCTGGCACTAAGCAAGCAAGAGGATCTCTGAATTGGGCATCTCTACCTCTTCTCTTGCCAAGACACTGTCACTGTTTGGGGACGCTCCAATGCATCATGCTGACTCCATTCTACCTTTTATCCATTCATTTCCTTTTCCATTAGCACTATTAAAATGATGTGGCATTGGCTGAAGCCGGTAACATAAGCACTCTGGCTCATTCCCTTTTGTTTTTCGTCGTATTCAAGATAATGTAGGCGACATGAAGACAGATTTTCTTTTATTCAGTGAGAAAATGTTTTGGAGGAAACATTGTTTTGATCCCAAATGTTATTTCAATTTTTGCTCACGTCTGCTGGCAAATCTGCATGTTTTCTCATTGCTGGCTAATAGGTCAGCACCAGTGGGAATGTGATACAGGGAGGCAAGGTCAGTTTTCATTGATTGTTTAATCAGTCCTTTGTTTGAGAAGGACGCGATTAAGATGGGAAGACATGGACTGCTTTTCCCCAGCAGGCTTACACTACATATACTTTCTAAGCTATATGCCAAACAGTATTCACTTTGCCTGTGACTGAGCACGACTCTATGTGTGCTCGTCGGTGTGTGTCTGTATCCCAAACAGTTTGAATGCGAGCAACCCGAGTAAATCAGGTACAAATAAAGCCCAGATGACGAGACATTTGGAAGAGTGTGAACAGTATCCTCCTCGCTCTGCCCTTCTATTTGTTTGTCTGCCTGCTTGTTTGCCTCTCTGTCTGCAAAGCTGGCGTCAGTCTCAAGGAGATCCTCCTTCTCTTTCCTGCTCCCTTTTTCTGGGCAGAGCTGACAGACACCAGCAGATTTTCCTCCCTGAATAGCTGTTTTTATCTCTTTCTCTCTCCCTCTGTCCCACTGTCTTCCCCTTCCTCAATCTCTCTTGCTGAATGGCTGTCTGGCCCGAGTTAAAGGATTTTTTTTTTTCTAGATGTTGCTGAAACCTGATATTGAGATATTTTGGCACACTATCTATGAACATATATATTTAGGCTTAGTGGCCAGAATAGAAATCCCTCCTGGCTGTGTTAGTGTTAATGCCTCAACTAGGGGATACCACAGCAGAAGCAAGCTTGAGATATGGAAGTGTATATATCCTGGTTTAGGGAGATTGGATGTGTTTTTGCAGATAGGGGCCTCATGTGCTACAGGGTGGGGGATGCTGAAGGGGCTCTCAGCTTCGCGTATGCAACCGAGACAGGGCGACAGACAGGGGCAGGGAGGGCTTTGTGCACCAGCCCTTTCCCACACTCCCTTTCACCTTTTGTTGTATGGCAACACCAGGGCTCTCTGACATGACGAATCGCTTTGCCTTCTTCACTGTGATGGTGGCGGTATCAGAAAGTAAGAATGGAGTGAGATGAATTGATGTGTGCGTGCAGATATATAGGTGTGTGTGTGTGGGTGGGTTGGAGAGGTGTCCTTTAATCTCAGTACATGAAGCTGCCAACATTTCCCATCCCTTGTCCCCCAAATCTCCCTCAGTTTGTCACCAGGGTGAGGCAGAAAACTCAATGCTTCAAGCTCTGCATGGGCAGATTCCTCAGTGCATGAGCCAGACGCAGCCACACATGCACATGCTCATATGCGCACACATGCCTCTGCCCAAATGCCAGCACCAAGCTGTTGCCCAAAAAGCGTTCAGGCCGTCACAATAGAGACATTACCACATGAGTGAGTGGCTTTGAATAAGGCTAAGGGTGTGTGTATATAGAGAGTGTGGAGGGTGAGCGGGGGAGTTCCTGGCAAGGCAGACGACCCTGCCATCACCTCTGCCCCCTTGTCAAACAAGCAATCGCCGCCAGTGACACATGCATGCAGCACGCACTCCTGCTTCACTTCCTTTTGTGCTAGTCCGAGTCTGTAACTTCTCTCGGTTTTTATTAGAAAGGGAGCGCTCCAACAATGTGTTTATTTGTTTGTAAGGAAACGGCACAGAAATAAGTTGGCTGGTTAGTGGACCACTGTAGTGAATAGCTGACCCAGTCAGGCTAATCAGGGTGAAGGGTTAGAATCTAGAGGTCAAAAGAGAAAGGAAAATGAATGAAAGAAGAATCCGTCTGCAAATAAATTACAGGTTGCAAAGAAATCCGCATTTCCTTGTGGAAATGCATGTGAAGTTAGGAGGCTGAAAAGGTGTCAGAACATGGAGATGCAGATAGAGACATGAGCATAAAGGCATAAAGAAACACATGACAACATTTCAAACAGTTGTTAGACTAGTGGCAGCTCTGTCAGTGGATTGTCACCGCATGTGTTAGCGTGTGTCTATGTGTGTGTGTGTGTCCTCGGCGTGTCATTATGCAAAACCAGAGTCTTCCGCAAAGCATGGAAAATGAGTGTGTGTTTGGGTGCATGCATGTGTGCATGTCTGTGGTGGAGGGGGTGACACGGGTTTGAGGGGCTGTGTCACTCCATCGCTGCGGGAAGTCATGACAGCACTGTTTTGTCAGCGCACGGATGGCTGCAGCATCATGGCAGCAGAAGAAGCAGGAGAAATGGAAGAAGCGCACGGGGATGGAGTGAGTAGAAGGAAGGGAAGATTTTTTCTTCTTCTTCTTCTTCTTCCCACACTCAATAAGGAAATTAGGTCATCCAAGTAAAACCATTGCAAAGAACAAATCATCATCATAATTGGAGCCTTAACAAATGTGTGGAGGTGGTGGATTCAGACACACACACACACACACGAACGAGAAAAAAACACAAAAGCCAAAACACAATTGCAAAACGGCACACATGGCTGGGAGGAGGTAAAGCAGAATTTCAGCATAAATCAGGGTATGTTTGACAGTTTTATAGCTCTTTCAGGAGCCTCATTTGGGATAGAAGCGTGATAGAAGAACGTTACCCGTGGCAAATATAATTGTGGTCATGGTCCTTCAATAAATCAGGGGATGGTTACATCACATTTGCCTGGAGGCTCCACGGGGGGGAAAAAATCCCAGCGCATCAGGTGACCTACAAGTCACCTGAGATTGCTTTAGTTTTTCTCACTGGGAATTCACAGAGGGAAACGTGCCAAGAATATGTACACAGATACGCTATTTGAGGAATAGTTAGTCTGTTTTGGGGGAAGTGTGGTGATCTGCTTTCTTCGTAAAAGGGAAATGAGAATACCGATGCGACTCTCCTTTCTGAAATGTAACCAACAGCACTAGCTCAGCACAAAGCCCAAATGTAAGGAAAAACTCTAGCCTTTCACTGTCTGACTCGAATCCATAATTATTAGGAAGTTTTATATTCTGAAAGCTCACATAACAAAGTTAGGTTGATATAATTGAGAGTGCCATCATTCTTATACCTCTTAACAATAAAGTAAATAAGCATTTTTCTTGGGATACTGCATTTAGTAGTTCCAATTAAGCCCTATTGCTAATAATATGAATTGAATGGCTCAGAATAATCACAGGTCTCATTTAACTGTTAGTAACTTTAGCTTTATATGTACCATATTCTCGTGAAATGATGTCTGGTTTTCAGGGAAATAATTTAAAACCATGATTCAGATTCTGTATATGAATACAAACATAAATGGACACTCTCAGGAGGTGAAATGTCACAGAAAAACTGCCATTTTTTTTACTTCAGGGGCACGTCCCACCAGCTCTGACAGTGGGACGTGCTAAAAAGTGGAAGATAGAAAGGTCGACCTTGCAGACTCTCAGCTCTTCCTCAGGTTTCATATGACAGGACAAACACATTATTTATTCATGTTTAAGGACAGCTTGCTCAAGACTTACCAACACATATACCCAGCCCACACATACATGTAATATGGGCTGAATAAATCTCCATAAGGAGATCTGTTGTGCATGACAATGCTGTCTACTGCTGGTTGCTTCCAAAGCAACAATACCAGGAACTGGGCAAAGACACATGGAGAGAAAGAGGCCGAGCTGATACCTGTACAGTAATCACTGTGAGGCCACGACTCTTAACAAAATAGTGACAGCATTTCCTACAATGTTACCCAAACAGTAATGAGATGACTGGCTTTGTAATAGTTTGCTCTGCCAAGGACTATTGTTCTGGCATTTTCCATAAGAGAATGATCTGGCATCATTTTTAATAGGCATAATTCACCCCTTAAACAAGGCCTCTTTGGGGTTTGCCAATTTGCTTCTGTTTTTCAGTGCTTACAGTTCTCATTACCAACATAACCGGTGACAAATGTCAAATTATGCATTGCTATTAATATAAATGAGCTAAACAGTGAGCTAGATAAAAGTATCTTTGCTATAAATACATAATCTTTGAAATGTTCAAGATCTACGAAGTTGGATTTACAGAAATGAATGACGTTTGGTTTTGCTGTGACATTTCAGCCAATAATTATTCTTCAAGCGCAACTATGAAGGGTACTGCGGTCAGTTAGCTTTGAAATTTTACTCTGTCACTCGGTCGCTTGTAATGTTTTTTCATAAAAGTCAACATGAAGCCAAATCACATTATCATATGTTGATTTTTTGCAGTGTAATACAGTCTCCACAGGCCTTTTACATCACCCAAAAAGCCAGGCGGCTGATTGACAGAACTTGGCTGACTGTGGACCCTCCTTCCCAGCGTCTCCTCCTCTCTCTCTCTGCTCTCCCGTCCTCTCCTCTGCTCTCTCTCCCTGCCTCAATTGCGAGGCTGCGCTCACCGACTCGACACGGCGAACAGGGATGCAGCGAGGGCGCAGCGCAGCCTGAAAAATGGCATCACCACGCGTACTGTGGATCTATCCATCCCTTTCCCTCCTGTCCTCTCTGCTTCTTTTCCACGCTTTTCCGCCATGCCGAGCCTTACGGAATTACCCGGAGAATGAAGGTGGGTTTTTGCCCCCGACGTGTTTCGTGGAGCTTTAAAGTCGAGTGAGTTTAGATGACTTGGTCGTGCGCTGAGTTGTTGGATGGGGAGCCCCATCCCGCGGCTCTCCACTCGCCGGCGAAGGAGCGGAGCGCAGCGGCGGAGACTCCCGTTAAGTGCTGCTTATAAATCATGCATAAAGGAAAGCGGAGAGAGGGAGTAAGAGAGACAAAAATAGTGTTCGTCACGTTTTTTTTCTTTTCCGAGCATGCTGACATGAAATTTTTATGACATATAAGCGCAGGCAAACCTGTCGTGTATCATCCAGAGAATGCTGAGGTCGACTTGTCACTTTGTGACAATTTATTAATCAGTGGACTATTTTTCCCTGCGTCAAAGAATACTAACTTATAATGATTATGCCAAAGCAGCATTGGCATCTCTGTCAAAATTCCTCTTAATTATAGATATCTTCATTATTATTACAGACTGATAAATGTTTTCTTCTCTGCCGTGGACTGTTGCCACTGCCTCAGTCTGCAAATGAGGAGCAGCAATTACATTAAATTTGTCACACGCTGCTGCTGAGCCTCTCTCGGTTATTGTATTAACATCGATGCTCAGCCTGAAATTAGCCAATGTATTTACTTACTAACTACTCCTGACTGCTTGCTGGGTTGAAACATGGGGGCTGGCTTGTTTAAAGGGAAGTTGAACTTGCACTAAATGGAGAAAACAGCAGATCAATGTGCTAAAGTCATAGCCAGAAAAACAAAAAACAAAACAATTATTAGTTTAACAAGCAGGTTATTTGGATTAAATTGGAAGTCTGTGGTGTTGTTTTGCTTGTTGGCTGTCAGACAGTCTGGCTGGAGATGATACAGCTGTGACTTGTCATCCTGTGAATCATTTTGTTCAGTGTTCCCCCAAAAGCTCCACTGAGTCTTGTTTTGAAGCTCAACAAAGCTTTTCTGTCACTATGAGTTGCCTTTCATTGATATTATTTTTCTCTGTATTTTCTCAGTCACTATCACACACATACACAGATACGGAGAGACCTCAACTCCAGCCTTGCATAGATTAAACAGTGAGCTCTGGGACACTCATACAATGACAGGCCCCACTGAAGTTAAATGGGATCTCCTGTCTCCGGCTGACTTAACAGTATAAGCTGCGTGTACATACATTGCTGCTAAATGTATGTCACAGCCCGGAGGAGTTCACGCAGAACAAAGGCTCTGAAGGACAGAAAGGCAGCGGACGAGAGGGAGAGTAGAGATGGAGTGGAGGAGCAGGAGGGTTTTTTAACTGCAGGAGACAATGCATGTGATGGAGACACTAACACACTGCTGAAATATTCAGTGGAAAGAGCACGAATGATGAAACCATCTGGAAGCCAAAGGAAACTCCTGTTGATTTCGATAAATAAACACAGAAGCATGTGAGCCGCTGTGAATGTTTGCAGGCACATGTGGATCATGTTCATGTGGGGTGACTGATGGGTCAGAGGGTTTTCATTACTTATAAATGCACTTTTTAAATAATGTGCTACAAGTTAGTCATCCTCCAGCCAGTTCCTGCTGTTTCAGACTATTGGCCTAATTGGCACCTTTAAGCCCACTGCTCCATGTGCCGGTATCTGTGTGTGTGGTGTCTGGTCTGTGTGTGTGTATACGTTCACCAGTGGGACAGTAATCCAATGAAGCCACTTTTGTCAGCTACTCTGTGGCTCGCTTTTACCTTTTGGCCTGCCAGTTTTCCTGCTGTGACCGCACGTGCTTAGCTAAGGGATTGTGCTTCTTTGTGCCAGTGTGTGTGTCTATGTGTGTGTGCGTGCGTGCGTGTGTGTACCCTGTGTTTGCCTATAAGTGTGCATACTCTCCACCCACGCCTCTCGGTAGTCGTGTTATTCCAGGAAATCTTCCCTCTGAGTCTGTCTCGTACTAGAAGCGAGGCTGTCATAAAAGGAGAGATACAGCTCTCAGGGCTCAATTAAGAACACAATCCCTTTGATAGAGATGATAGCGTTAGCAGGAAAAATAGTGTTAAGCTGTCACAAAGCTTAGTTTACCACCAGAGCTATTGATCCGCTCCAAAATTGGTTGGCATTTACAAGAAACTCGGTTGTCGTAACAGAGAGCTTCGGTAAAATTGAAAGAACCGCTTGAAATTGTTGCTGTAATTGCATCTCCATGGGGCCCATAAGACTCTGCAGAAATGGGTTCATTCATAAATTGTGAGATAAAGAGCAAGAAAACTGGTCTGAAGGTCTTTGTTATCACCAGTGAACGGAGGAAAAGGACTTTGTGAGTTATTGCGCACCAGCAGAGGGAGCCCTCCATTCCCTCTGTCTGGACCCCGAGGGCATACTGATGTAACAGCAGGGTGGATGCTCACAGGTTTCCCCCCTTGGTTGCCGTACCATCTCCCACCCTTCTTTGCTCTCAGTCTGTATCCTCTCTTATGCAGAGGTACAACATGTCTTGTTTCTTTTCTCTGTTGCTTTGCACCTAGTTCTCCCTGCGACTTTTTTTTTTCTCTCTCTCATCCTTCTTGTGCCGAATCGTGCTGGGGAAAGGAGCAGACTATCACACCTTTCTATTTTTGTGTCTTTCCTCTCTGCCTCTAAATTTACCTCCTCACTCCTAGAAAATAAGGAACCCCGAGCTTCTTTCCATTCCAACTCTGGATGTTGATTTAATTTCATATTAAAGCGTAAATCCCTGTGCAAGTGGACGCACAGATGAATTAACCGAGGGGGTTTTTTTAGTCTCGAGGTTTACTGTAATCTGTAATTGCTCATGGGAACGCACTTGAATCTTTTTTAAAAAATTGAATTGACCTTAGGGTGCTGCGGGAGATTGCTGTATTGCTTCTTAAGGTTAACACGGGGGTGAGCAGTTAGTGCAGAGGCAAGCATATGTAAAGCATGCCCTCTGCTTCGACACACACACACATCCACATTATGATTCACACAAGATCCTGACTGTGGTATAATGTTGGGTCAAAGGTCTCATCTGGTTTAATTGCTTTAATCTATAATGGCTGCTTGTAGTTATCGGCAGAACCATACCTCACGATGTGCGTGTGTGTGTGCACGCGAGAGTCCATGAGATTGTTCTGCTCCCATGTAACAGCCATGACCTTGGACAGAAGAGGATATAGATCTCCTTTCTCATCAGAGAGCAGCAGAGGAAAGCAGCAAGTGCGAGCGCCCTCCTGTTTTTCTTTTCTGCCTCCACTCCGAGCTCGCTCTAATCCCGGTCTTTTATATCTGCCCTTCTCTCCTTTCTATCAGCCTCCCTCGTGGCCTCCATCTCTTTGTCCCTGATTGTTTTTAATCTTTTGTTTTCTTCTCCTCTTCCTTCTCTATTTCTCTGACCTCCAGTGTAGCAGTAAGGTGGGAGCTCCCGTACGCTTTCTGTAATCAGGTGGAGCTCCTACAACTGCTTAACAAAGGCTCACGCGCGAGCGCGAATGGATGTGTGCGCACTCGTGCACACACACGCGTGCACACACTCTCCCACACTTATCCTATCTTAATGCATGGCTGGGGGGCAGTTTGGTGGTCTCGGTCCAGAGAATAGTGGCACATATTCCGGGGGCTGGCTGATAGATGGGGTTATAAATACAACTCAGTGACAGAGAATGATTCTGCTGTGCGCGCTTCACCTCATGGACTCATTGTGTGTGAGGCTGTGTGTGTTTAACTGTGTGTGTTTAAGTGTGTACGTGAGTGAGAGAAAGGCTGAGAGACTGGGACTTTTTAAAAAGTGTGAGACAAAGCAAAATGCATGAGGAGAACAAGAAGAAAGACAGACGGGGGAATGTAGTTAAAAAAAAAACAGCTGAAGAGCTCAACCATATCTCTGAGCCCTACTGAGCAGAGCATCCATAACAGCACCCACAAGAGCCTTTGTGTTGTGTTATACTTAGTCATACTTAGTCATCGGTGGCTAAGAGGGTTTGTATTACACTTAACCTAGTAGTTTTTAAAAAAAATATATTATCATGGTGTTTCAAAGGTGGAGGGGTTAAACATTCTTATTTGCCTTTTTGATGAGAGTCTGACGAGAAGACTGAAATCAGTGTCATGTCTCTGTGCCAGACATGAAGCTCAAGCCAGAAGCTAGCCAGCTTAGCTTAACTCCACTCCGGTCCGACCCCATAAACGCCCCAAATGAATGCATTACGTCTGTCTGTATTTATTTTGTTTATTTTGTCTGTGTGTGTAAAGTCTAAAAATGGCTATGCATGGTACAGTAGTGTCGCTGATGGTCTCGGTCTCTTAGTTAGGTCACTGCCAACATGTAGTCCACCATCATTTTTATTTACTGGGATTTATGTGTGTTGTACAGATGTGAATGTGGCAGATGTTCTTCGATCTATTCCTTTAAAGACAGAAAAATAATATTAAGTATTCATTGAGTTTCCATTCATGTCACAATTCAGAACAATAGCTCTCCCCCAAAAACAGCCATACCTTCTTTTAGCACTCGGGTTAATTCATGTATGAGAAACAAGATATAGATCTTTCAAGCAGCTCTTGAAAAAAAAAAAAGACAAGATAAGGATCTAAATTATGAATGCCATATGCATATTTCCTGTGTATCCATATGTTTATTTTCACTTTTGGAAACGATATGGGCTGTTTTTGTATCTTATATTCAGAAGTGTTGTGAGACAGGAGTTTATTTTTATCTCAGTTCCCACCACGGGGATGAATATGTGCAAGTCTCAACCAGCTGAGGCTTGAACATGAACAGTTTTTAGGCTTGAATGATTCCCTTCGGATGTCGAGTTCATTAATGTCAAAGGAAACCTTCCTCGGCTTGCGATGGGTGATGGCTGTAGTGAAGTTTGGCTATGTGGCCCCTCCCCCATTTTCTGCCACCACCACATCTGCTGACCCCTTCCCCCTCTCTGATATGAACAAGCCCTTAACTGCTGGTCAAATTACTGATCACTGGGCCTTGACTACCATCTACCCACCACCCTCAAGCTCTCCTTCTTTTCCCTCT